TTTTCTGTTAAATGCTTTTATTTTATTGACGATTCATTTCTCTTTTTCCTAGTGATTTCTTTTTCTTGACCCGTTCATTTTTGCAAACGAAATTTTGTACTTGATTATAATTTTTTTCACTTTACTGTAATAGAACACCTATATATATTAGACGAATTACAACATCAGATACTCTGCGAGTGTTGATCCTGAAGTACTTGGAATGAGATCACGTGGATGACCTGTATATGTTAACGCGATCGGGAATATTTGTTGGCAAATGTATTAGGCGACCACGTTTCTCGCGGAGCGAAGCGGTGGGCAATAAATTTAATAAATTTATGCCTTTTCAATTTTTTCAAAAATCACTCATTTCGTTGGTTTGATGTTTAACAGTTGAATTCAATCTGAGCTAGACCAGTATTGAAAACCTGGAAGCAGTTTACGGTCTTTTAGTTCTAGTTTGGGACTCCTAAGCAGTGTACATCCGCGATCCCGCAACGTAGGGACTCAAACACAAGACCTATGGTTTTGCGTGTAAACACCTTATTTCCAGACCATTGAGTCGGCATCTAAGTGTCAATGTCTTACTTTAGTCAACCCATGATCTTGCGCTACCGCTTCATTCATTGTCCGCGGTTGATAGCTTTCCGACTCTTGACACGGTTTGGACTCCACTGGTTGTGGATTTCCTAATTTGTGTTTGAGACCGATCATATAGTCACTGTTTTACTTTTACTTACCCTTTTCATTTCAATTTGAAATGTTGAGTTCCATGGATAATGCCTCATTTTCACTGAATGTTTATGATCGTAGGTTTATAATCAGTTATTCCAGTCAGATCGACTATTTGTAAAAATCAATTCTTAAAGTAACCACTTACTTGCCTACGCCTGTTACCCCTCGGGAAGGAGCATAGGCCGCTCATCAGCAGTCTCCATCCAACTGTGTCCTGAGCAATCCTTTCCAGCTCTTTCCAATTGTTATTGATCCTTTTCATATCTGCTTCTATTGTCCGACGCAATGTGTTCTTTGGCCTTCCTCGTTTTCGCTTCCCTTCAGGATTCCAAGTTAGGGCTGGCCTCGTATGCAGTTTGACAATTTGCTTAATGTATGTCCTATCCATGTCCATCGTCTTTTCCTAATTTCTTCTTCAGCTGGAAGCTGATTTGTTCTCTCTCACAAAAGGCTGTTGCCGATGGTATCCGACCAATGGATGTTGAGTATCTTGCGTAGACGGCTATTTATAAATACTTGTACCTTCTTGATTGTGGTTGTTATAGTTCTCTGAGTTTCAGCTCCATACAGTAGAACTGCCTTGACGTTGGTATTGAAGATTCTGACTTTAATATTGGTTGAAAGTTGTTATGAATTCCATATGCTTCTAAATTGTAGGAATTCTGTCCTTGCTTTGCTAATCCTCGCCTTTACATCTGCATCTGACCCTCCTTGCTCATCGACGATGCTTCCCAGGTATATGAAGGGTTTTACATCTTCCAGAGTTTCGCTATTAAGTGTGATTGGATTGCTGTTCTCTGTGTTGTATTTGAGCACCTTTGTTTTCCCCTTGTGTATGTTGAGGCCTACTGATGCAGAAACTGTTGATACACCGGCTGTCTTTATCTGCATTTGTTCGTGTGTATGCGATAGGAAGGCTAGGTCATCTCCGAAGTCCAAATCGTCTAATCGGTTCTGAGCTGTCCATTGTATTCCGTGTTTTCCTTCAGATGTCGAGGTCTTCATAGTCCAGTCGACTACCAGAAGAAAGAGTAAGGAAGAGAGTAGACAGCCTTGTCTGACTCCAGTCCTTACTTGGAATGCATCTGTCAGCTTTCCTCCATGCACCTACTTTGCACTGTAGTCCGTCGTATGAGTTCCGGATAATATTGACAATCTTCTCAGGAACTCCGTAGTGTCAAAGAGGTTTCCATAGCGTCCTCCTATCTACACTATCAAATGCCTTTTCGTAATCAATGAAGTCGATGTATAGTGACGAGTTCCACTGAACTGATTGTTCGATGATGATCTGTAGTGTCGCGACTTGGTCTGTGTACGACCGATCCCTACGAAATCCTGCCTGTTGATCTCGAAGTTGAGCGTCTACTGCATCTTTCATCCGGTTCAGTAACATTCTGTTAAAGACTTTCCCTGGTACTGATAGTAGTGTAACGCCTCTGTAGTTTTCACATTTGCTCAGATCGCCACAACTAGGTGGTGATCTGAAGCTATATCAGCTCCTCTCCTGGTTCTCATATCTTCCATTGTCTTTCGGGATTTTTTTTATACAAATATGACCAATCTGGTTCTCTGTGGTGTGGAACGGTGAGATCCAGGTACCTTTGTGAATACGTTTGTGTGGAAATATTGTGCCTCCTATGACCAGTTTGTTGAATGCACACAGATTTGCGAATCTTCCCCTATTTTCGTTTTGCTCTCCCAGTTCATGTCGTCCCATGATATATTCATATCCAGTGTTGTCTATTCCGAGTTTGGCATTTAGATCTACCATTAGAATGGTGAGGTCCTTTCTTGGGCATTTCTCAATGATTGACTGCAGCCGCTCGTAGAATTGATCTTTAATGTCGTCGTTGCTATCATTAGTGGGTGCATAACATTGGATAATATTCATTGTGATCCCCTCCTTCTTTGTTTTGAATGTTTTGATGATTCTGGATCCGTGAGATTCCCATCCTACAAGTGCATTTCGTGCTAAGTGTGTGGAGCATTTTCCTCTTCGTGACCGGAGTATAGCAGCATCTCTCCCGTATATAGCCTTTATTATCCAGCTTGGGTTCAGTGGGTTTCGCTGAGTCACAGTTCTGCCAAGTTTTATCTGCTCATTTGCGTTGCTATTTGACTGGTCTTCCCAGTCTCCCACATTATTCGGACTTTCCATGTACCTATAAAAATTGTTGCTCTGGTTGTTAGAAGGGGTATCGGTCTCCTGGCTTCCGAATAAACTCGGCTTTCACCATGATGCGTCATAGTCCTTCTAAATGAAGACCTAACTCCCAGGGCAGAATTAAATTGGTTTGAATTAATTTTTCTGGTAAGCATATTTTTAGCGAGTTAGTTTTCTACGGAATGGGGTCGCTAACCCCATGCTCAACCCTCCTCCTTTGTCCGGGCTTGGGACCGGCAGTAACTCTAGAACAGCTACAGGCAAAGTAACCAACTTTAATTGAGAATGAATTAAGACTAATCATGGCATTTAACTTCTACATAGTGGGTTGACTGTTTAATAATGAACATGCTAATTATCAACTATGTACAAGGCTTAAAACAAGTTAAGTTTTATATCCATCTTTACTGATACCGAAGGATATATTTTCGTATGATCAAAATATTTAAACCTTAAAAACTGTAACTTGGTGTAATTTTATTAATTAATGCCGAAAAATGCTTAAGTATACACAGACGTATTCATGATTAATGATAAACAGTGAATGAAATACTGATAATCATTACTAGACTTAGAGAAAATTGCAAGAAATGATATGGTGAAATAAGCACTGGAATTAAATGAGTAGTAACTGCTATCATCTCTATCATGTACACAACGGACTAAGTATTTTTCAGTCGCGTGTAGTTATTTGTAGTCTATCACACTAAGAATAAATCCGAATATGACTTAAATATCAACTGAATTACTGGATAAAAATAGAAGATTTAAAAATGCTCAATTGTCATCTGTTGCACAGATGAAAAATATAGAATGCCAAAATGGTTTAGTATTAGATCTCAATGTGGATACACTATACATGCAAACGAGTAAATGAATGAGAAAATTCACTCTTAATAAATATAAGTTTATCGTGACCATAGTTAATAGTTCACCTGAGAACAAATTAACCTAATCAACAACAAGTTAAAGTGCTACCATTTCAAAAGAGTTGTTCATGACATATCATTTATCTACGGCATTGAAACCACAAACAACTAGATATTTTGCGCTAGGCCGAAGGTCCTGAGTTCGAATCCCGCGTCTGCGATCGTGGATGTGCACTGATCGACAGTCCCATTCTAGGACGAAACAGCCGTTTATTGCTTCCTTGTTTTCGATGATTGCCTAATATTGATTTGTTAATGAACAAAAAATAAATGCGAAAAAGAATGTCAACGTTTCAGTGAAGAAAATATCCTTTCATATTCTTATGCACACATCAAGTTGATGTCGCCAGTTTGAATCCACTGGTTAAATAAGACGTCGGTGACAGACAAATGACGATTGGCATGTTACCAATTGTCTTAGACGTAGAATAACTCATATTTACTATCTGATATAAGGTCAACCTCTCTAGGAAACTTGACGATCACAAATAAAACGATTCATTATTTAAACATCGTGAGTGAAGAGATTCATACCTACCACCAGGCAGTTATACTTGATCCTTTTCATGCTACTTATGATACGCACTTGGTAGAAAAGTTATTGGATAACTATTTCTATCGAGTGACCAGACTGGTGCATTGAGGAAATAAAATTAAGTCAGATTATTGAGGAGGCCCATAAAGGTCTATATTGCGTTCTCGTTGAATGTCGTTGATTTCTACGATGAAAATATATTATCAAGTCTGTTATCCACTTTCAGAACACATGACATTCTTGCAGAACAAATAAGGTGACTGAATGTGTCGCATCCCAAACATCTGACCTATTCACCAGAACCACATTCCACTCTTGAGGGTTGGGAAAATTAACATACAGAACGAATATCAAAATTGTCTTTGTCAGATTCTTCACCAGGTTAATGAATTTCATTTGTCACTTGCATATCTATGTTTGCTTCAGCCTCGCCTTCATTGTCATCACTAGATATAGTAGCATCGAAATCTGCTATTGACTTCTTCCATTTCTTGTTCTACGAAACTAAATAATATTTCGCTAGGGTTGTTGAATTTACCAAATAGGCTCACCAAGAATGAGGATTCGTTTGTTTCTATGAATCAATCTTGTTACCCTGTAAATCTATAATAAATAAACGACCATTTCTTAAGGTCAGTAACGGTACTTGTTTATTATGCTTTTGTTTCAAGTGAAAATTACAAGCTATCCAGATGATTCACACTTTAAGAGCGCTGTGAATTACTACACATCTTGTATGGACAGTCCCAATGCAAGCATCCAAGTGATTGAAAACGAAGTTATTAAATTGATAATATCTCAATTCAAAGGGTGGTACTTGACAACTGATTACAAAAAAAACTCCTTAATTGTCAAAAAGAATTTACTTGACGACAAAACATTCAGTCTTACGGGTTTACTTTTACCTTTGTTGCTTCAAAGTGGAAGTACATCTTTATTTTCACTAATAAAGGATGACAAACCACACATTCATGTGAGTTACCTAGTATTAAATAATTTGGGTGCTGAACTGTAATACCGCGTTTTAAGTGTTCAATTTTTATACTATTTCCAAATTGAAATTATATTATTTGAAGGATTACTGGAAACAAGTTATTGTTTACTGAAGAAAACCCTCGATAAATTTTCATGGATCCTGATTTCGTCATAATGACATTTAGTCGTTTAGTCAATCGGTCAATTAATTTATGTTAGTGTGTTCTACATATTTGCACTGGAATGTTAAATTTGCAAGACCAAATCAAATTCTTAGCACAAATTCACTGAGGCATCATATTTTATGCTATATTTGCATTTGAAAATGAAAATGTGACCGATTCGAATTTCTCCTCGTTTTGTCAACGGAACCTGTCGATCAAGATATTTACTTTATTCTGTCACATTTGAATGTATCGAATAAATTAAGGTACATGAGTTTGTTGAGTTGAAAACAACTTTCTTTTTTCTATGTGTTTGGAGACACGACCAAACTTATCACGCGATACAAACGACTGTAAAATACCATAGGCATATATATATATATATATATATTCACTACTTATGCTGCAGTGAAAATATTTTCATAGCATCCGATTCAGTAAAATTTTCATGATGATGATTCATCGACGAAAAATCGTGTTTTCTTCTACGATGGATAGTATCTTATTTACCCAGTGTGTAACTGAAAAATTACATCGCTCTGATCTGATTCAAAGAGCATTAGGTCGATAAATCAGATTTAAATGTGGACAGTGGTAAAATGCATACGACTTTATGGTTCGTGTTTGGTGAAACACCACAGACAGATCGTAGATCAAGTAGTAAAGGCATCTGTAAATGAAATGTTTATTTATGTTTGTATGAGTTTCCGCAGTATCATGCAAAAATCTCACACTATTTAAAAAGTAATTTGTGCTCTTGTACTGAATAATTTAAAAGATTGCTGTTGTATATCTGTCAACAGAATTTGTTTTTTTCTGAATGACAAATCTAATCTCACTTCATTCTAGTAACCAACACTTCACTCAATTTAAGTTATTAAGCTATATTCTATGTGATCACACTCTCAATGCTTAAATTATTTTTACTGTTTTCTACAACTACAACTCGATAAATCTGTGCATTTCGAGAGAGAATCCTATGTGCAGATAAACAAAAATCGAGTGATCCTTTGTATGAATGAATCGTCATTTATTTTCTAAATAGGGTCATATAATTTATCAAAGTAGGTTGTTTCTACTTTTCAAACAACAAAAGAAGTTTCTAATGGATACCATCTATTGAAATAAGTGTTTTCCAAAAAACATTTTAGTTGCATAACATTTCATTTGGTTCCCGGTGAAAAATACAGCTGTCTTGTTTTGTATTTCAGATTTCTCCAGGTTCACTGGAAGCTTTTGATGCTGTTACTTCTAGCGTGGTAAGATTAAACTATCACGACTTATTTTTATTACAATAATCGACAAAATTTCACCATCAGTTTATTCTTGACCAGTTGTGACTTGTGATATAGAATATATAAAACAGGATGTGAAGAGTCGAAGAATTTTAGAATCGTTTTTGTGATATCCACAACAAACAAGTTATACATACATTAGTGTACAAATTTCCATAATTAAGTGTCTGTTTTCTCGTATCTCAAATCAAACGACGTACAATCTTTAAAATGGATAGGCACTTGAAAATGTGACAATAACAAGATAATAAATATGGTCAAAAAACTGTTTGCTTAGATCAGGGAAATATTCCTATGACTTATCGTAAACTAAACTAAATGCTATGGGCAATCAGTATCACCGTTTGTAATTATCCTACTCATTCTTATGAAAGTATCATATTCTATCAATAAATAACATTTCATGGGATTGGAAGTTTGTACGATTTTCTTTATTCTCAATTAACAGTCCGATGGTGAGAGCACAAGTGCAGATGAACAACTTTTCGAATATATGAAGAGAATTGGACCTTTGAAGGATAAGAAAAAATCAATACAAGAAGCTTTCCACTTGCATTCTGAAATCAAACTTGTGAGTGAAGTGATCATGATTACTTCACAACTATTCGAAATTATGTTGTTATGCATTTTTTATACACTCCATTATTTTGTAGAAGATGGACGTAGTATTCAGTGATCAGTACACTCGTATTTCAGTCATGAGAATACAAGTATGAGGCCTTGGCAATCAAATAAAGTTTCAGCTACCCAGTAGTGTAAGTGTTTTTTTGGGTCGTAATAGGCGACTATCCAGAGATATAGCAGACGATAAATAACGTGACCAAACGTTTTATGTTATCGACTGAACATCAATTCAAATAATAATAGACCTCTCTTTCTCGTGAATTTCATTGGAAATTAAAGCTTTCCTCAAATTATTTTTGCCGATGTGAACAAACCCTGTCCTGTGAACTTCATGTCTGCAACGTGTTTTATTACAAAAGATTACAGTGAATTAAAATAACCCATTGTGTCATTGAATAAGAAAAAGAAAATTCAGCGAAGAAAATTTTCTTTTCGACGAAATCATTTACTTAAGCTGTACATTCGTATATGTGTTTATATTGAATGTATATGTCTATAGGTGGATAAAAAAGATTGCATCATAAATTGACTCTAGACTAAAGAACAAATGAGGTTACGCACTAGTCAAGGGGTAGGGAAGAATATAACTTATGTGTCAGATAATAGTTCAATTGACAGACACGAAGAAAACGACAAACAAAACGCTCATAATAATAAACTGAAAAATAATCACGAAAACTTGTATTAGGTAATAATAATAACTGACTAGAGTTTAAAGTTGCAAAATAATGATTAAAAAAGGTTCAATAATAATCAAATAAAAGTGCAGAAAAAACCCGAAACATACCCGTAAAGGGGATTAGGGTCAAGGAAGGATGAGAGGTTGGACGAATCGTTTCTGCGCACAAAGTTTGAGCTTGAGTTCGTATGTCGCTATTGCCTCAGAAGCGCATAAAATATTGATTCGACACCCTCTCGATCCAGTTCCTTTGATTTTGTAGATTACTTTAAAAGAAGAATCCTTTGGAACGATGTGTCCACAGTTGATTAAATGCCCCTGCATAGAACTAGTCATTGTTATACATTTTCCTTTTAAAAGCCAAGCCGGATGGTTTTCTGAGGTGCGTTTGGAAAATGTCCGCTATAGATATATACTTTCCATATAACTATATATATAAGAATGTACAGCTTAAGTAAATGATTTCCTTAAAAAGAAAATTTTCTTCGCTGAATTCTCTTTTCGCTAGTCGATTACCGTGAAGCAAAGCTAATATTATTGATGCAGATACTTATCGTTTTCCTCCCACTGAACTCCATATATATGCTTCAATTTGTAAAATTGCACACAAGAAAATCTATAATACAAACGTCTTCAAAATTTCACTATCATTAATGACAACATATTATAGTTCACTTACATAAATGGAAAATTTCAAAACACTACTGAATATTACCGAATACCTTGGCCAGATTGAAACAACGTTTTGTGGATAAGCATCTGATAACATTGACGATACACAGATTTTATTTTAAAAGGAATGGAACAGTTGGAAACACTTGGATTTTGTTAAGATATATATTATGAAGTTTCTAACGGATTATAAACACTTATGCAACATGTTGTCATAACACTAATTTCTTTTCTTTAAAAAGTGATAACTATGATAAAGGCATTAAACAGCTGTGTTGATCTAGTTCCAAAATCCCTGGTAACACCCACTCAATAAACCAAATCAGATAATTGATTGTGATTAAACTTCGCTATTATATTTATTTCAGGCAATACAACCATCTGGTCCTGATTCAGAAGTCACAATTGAGAAGTTAACGGAAATCTGTGAAATAGTGAGTTGACGCTCAAACTGTTTTTAAAATGTCACTTACATGCGAAGCACATTTCACATTCCAATCACTGAATGAATGTTAGATTCGTCAATGTGAACGTTTACTTAAGATTAGACAGTAATTTACCAGCTAGTTGACTATTAACCTTCATAAATTCTCTAATCATAAAACTAAGAAAAGAATTCACTCATTCCTTCAGCGACTTACTGTTATCGTCACATCAAAGCAGGATTATTGTGGCCTTCATTGGTGCCAAAACAACAGTCTTCACTATGATCTGTCAATTCTTAGCATTACTCCTACACTATCAATGTTGTGACGATGTCATGTAATGATTTTATTGGTCACTACCACATACATAACACTACATATACTTTGATGCTATGCATTTATTCGCACATCTCGGATCACAAATACTTACCTAATTACTTACGCCTGTCACTCCCAATGGAGCATAGACCACCGACCATGGACACAAATAACCGTTACCTAATCCCACAATATTTTCTTCGATTCAGCTACAGTTTTGTCGCCAAGGTGTTGAGTACCCTCACATCTTAAGCCTTAGAGAATAAGTAATAAAATTATTAGTATCTACCACAAGTGGAAGAATCAAAATGGTTTTAATATTGCATTTGTCTGAGTGAACTAAATCGCTCATCTGCGACTAACTTCATCAAACAATATGAATTGAACATCAATTGTTCCCCTCATCAAATTGTCACCCACTGACCCCAAAACGTCATTTATTGTGATGTTGCACTCAGAAATGCCCCGTTTGTAAAACCACAACAAATTAAACGAAGCTGATCACATATCCATGCTGGAAATGTGTTATTAAAATATAAATCTGTCTATATGAAGACGGTTGGAATCTAAATCCGTCTATTTGCTGAACGAAATGTCTCGGAATGGAAAATCAGGTCAGGCGAATTCACAGTATCCACAAAAGTACATTATCAATTTTCGTAAAAGTAGAACCTTTACTCAATAGACTCTTGTCTTACCATTTCTTAATACTCAGAATCGGAATTTAGGTCGACATAATGTATCCGCTTACATCAACAAATGTTTGTTACTACTTAGTCATCCATAAATCGAACTCGTAGATCTGATAAACGCTTTGTCTGTTGTTCAAAATGGTGTCTCAATTTCATCAAAGTCAACTTCTTTCAAAAGTATTATGAATAAAAATTATAGGTTCAAACTTCATACAAAATTATCTTTCAACGATAATGCAGTTAATAAGAACGGTACAGTGTTGTTTACGTTCATTGTATACAACAAAATATATGATAACTACTGATCACGATTAGCTGAGAGACACTGATCATGTGTAGGAAATCGATTTGTGACAATAATCATTTACTGTCTTCGTAAATGTATTTCAACTTGTTATTTGTTTTGAACAGATTGATTGGAATCTTTTATTTGAGAGTGTATTCAATGAAATCAAGTATGATTCATACAAGAATATGAAAATTATTGTCTATAATCAAGATTCGTTGAAGAGAGTTTGTGATAAACACACAGAGTTTATGAGAACAGAACAAGGAAGAAAGTAATTTCCTTTCTTTATTGAATACTACGCTTTTAGAAACGATTTGTTCTGACAAAATCCTTGTTATTAATATTCATCTTCACACCGTTTTTCTCATTTATTGATATGATATTCAAAACAATTCAATCCAGGAAGTGAACATTAAATAAGTTGCTAAGCTTCTACATGTATTTTAATTCCAATAAAATCCACCTAATGTTTATTTACATCAAATCGCAATGCGATTTTTTCCACACTGTTTCATTGTTCAATATTATCGCTATGGAAATACGACTTTTGCTTATTCGACAATAAGTACTCTTAATTCAGCAAACAATCAGACATGTGGGTATCATTAACAAGGTTTAACTTGGTAATTTTGAAAAAAGTGAGCACTGGATAGATTGTTATAAGTAAATTAATATATTTGTAATATCACAATGAGTGGAAAAATTGAACTTTTTGACGTTTCCTGACTCGGAGTAATCCACTTCTTCAGAGAATAAATAAACAAATCGAAATTAATCCAAGTTTAAATAGTACAACGTAACCACGAGAATATTATGTGATCAATCCTACAACTGGTAATTTAATCAGACTTGGGTAAAATAAGAAGAACTGGATCGAGACTAGTGCGAACCTTAGTTTGAAAGTCAAAATCAGTTCATATTTATACTCTGAGTTCGATTCGATGTTAGATCATAGACATAAAATAAGAAAGTTTGGTTCAAGGAAGAGTTTTCTTTTCGGCAAGTTCATTTTCCAAGCTGTTCAATCGCAAATATTAACTCATGTTTCACAATGACAATACTTACAATAAGGGTGATAATAAAAGTCTGTAAAACACGATAACAGTGAGTTGGAATAAACAAAGACATTAAAACGTTATTTGTATCAAGGAAAGTAATCATAATTTTGTGGTTAAGAGCCCGAATATCCATCAAGTAGACGGATAGAGAAATAAGTTTGGCGGGTTGGTTAATCACTTCTCGATTTACTAGCTGAAATCATTTGTATCGGTTGTCTCACTTGGAGAATATGAATAGCGGCCATTCATTGAATTCTTTCCCATATCTAAGTAATCGTCATTCATGATAACTTATTTTCCTAGTCTCACAAACTACCACTAATGTTGGTTCTATACAAAACGTTTCCTCGTTATTGTCAGGTCATATAACTACCACTTTTCATTCATTGTTTATCAATAAATAATCATTATGTATTAAAATTTACTTTCAAAGACATTTACACTCGCTGACAGTGATCAGTTTCTTGTTCAACATGAGAAATATATTGAATCGGTATTTCGAAGAGTTTTATCCTGCTAATGTTCGTAAGTAACATTGTCAGTTTTCTTAAACAAATTGATTTTCAATTTTGTCTATGTTTAATCCAAACGTTTTCATTTCAATATTAGTGATAAAGGAAGAACAAATAAACCAACCGGAATATAATTTACATAAATGTCGATATATTCAACATATAAACCATTATCATTATTAGGATACATTCCAGATACATAATAGTCGACAACTGTGACGACGAACCACCGGTGAACTCGAGGAAGCTGTAAGAGGCACAGAAGGAGCCGAAGACGTTCCATCCAATCACCTTTCGGAAGAAGGTTCTAGAATTCCAACATGTAGCTTCCCGATTGGATAATGCTAATAACCCCCTGTACGCGGATTGGAAGACTGTAATGATGATTTCGTTCTCACTAAAAACTATAAATACCTGACAATTTTGTACTATGATTGACACTGTTTGGAATAATATTCCTTTCATTAGTCTTCTGTCTTCTTATTGCGACTTGGAAGGGTTTTGGTGTTCTAGTGCTCTGATTACGCGGTATATCAAGAAAAATCAGCTTTTTCAAGATATAACAACAACATATTATACACAATGGATTAAATAATCATTCGAATAAAATATCACAAAACAAGCGTCACTTATTCACATCACAGTCATTGTTCTTCAGTGAATTTCTCTCTCATTTCTCACACCAATTCACTTTTGATATGTCATTTCAACAATCAAATCAAGTCTTACTAATGTACATGTATCTGGCTGATTTCAAACGGTATTTATTTTTGAATGAGAAAGGATAGATGAGTACGATTCTGTAATAAGTCATACGACACTCAATAGGAATAAAAAATAAACGATGTTTCATTTATTGGTCTCTTTATATCACTTCATTTATTGACGTCGACAGAAATGTCAGCGAAAAAGCCAACAAGTTGCATTGATGAAGTAAAAGAAAATTTCCGATGGACAATAGAAAAGTATCATAAATATTCTAGTATAAGTGAAAGTACACAGAATCAAGTGAGTCTACAATTTCACTAAAAATCTGACTATTCATTGTTCTGTTTACCTATTTGGAGAAAGCACGATATTGGTCTGCTTACAGATAATCGTGTTCAGATATGCAATATATCGTCAGTGAGAACTTCATTTCAATGATAAAACTGGAGACAATTTTATTGTTTCTAATCATAAACTAATATAATTATGTCACTACGATACGCTTTAAGCAAATTATAGTAAACGTTTTTGCGTTCTACTCAGATGGACTACCATTTAGTGATGAAGCGATTTACTTGTTTCATAGATGACGGTTGTCTGTTTGATCACATGCATATCTGAATGATTCCTCCTCGAGGACTGTTTCTTTTGCATCGATTTGGCAATAGAACAATGAACGATTGTGTTCAGTCGGCTACATTGATTCCTCTAAAGTACTGATAGTTTATTTTGTAATATTTGTGTAATTACTTTGATTATGAGCAATATATCATTGTGCATTGAATAGGTTCTCGAAATGTTCAAACAATTGAAAACGACCTTCATTAATTCATTGTCATCAAAGTCATGGTCCAGTGAAGATGAAAAGCAGAAATTCATCAACTTGGTTTGTCCTATTTTAACTGATCAATTGAACACTATTCCATTTGTTTGTTTAGGCTAATGAGTATCAGTTGTCCATAATTACTTCGAAAAGTTTGTCCGCAGCAGAAAGAGACAGCCGAGATTTCATATTCAATGTGAGTTTCACAAATAATTTATTGGTTGTTGATTATTATCCTGGAACTATGGGTGAACTGAATTCGTTAAATAAAAAGAATCACTAGACGTCTTGAAAGAGATTTGCATTGTACTACCACTCTGTCCACCACATGACTTGTCTTGACGTTAACCATTCATGACTAACGTAAATACAGTGAATGGGACAGAATAATATGCATTCGTTTCACTTCGTGATTTCTCATCAACTGCTTACAATCATACTTGTCATGAGATATAACATACTGCCCAACTATAAAACCAAGCACTTGAAATGATACAGATTATCAGCTCTATATATACACGTATATGTTGAGGGTGGTGTATGAAGCAAACATATAGTAGACAGGGCAGTAATCACACATCATTCCGGAATTGATAAGAAGGAATGTGTAACAATCATAGAAGATTTGAATAGCTCACAATAACTCCAAGAATGCTGTTGTCGCTTAAATAGTTCGGAAACGAATGTTCTGGCTATTGAAGCTTGTTTAGTAAAATTTCTCAATTTAACTTAGGAGTAACTGATATACACCCGTCTCTTTCTGATAGAATACACTAGGTTCGAAAATAATAATACTCACTGCTGCAGTGAAGCTTCACGAAATTAGATTTTGTTCGTCAACTATTTCAGATGAATGAATAACGTCAATAACATGCTGGCTATCGGCTAAATAGACAGCGATCTCAATATTTAGGGTTGAGGTGTCTATTAGCCTCGGGATTTTAGCAATGTGTCCTGAAATGCGATCATACATAGACCTCAGTTTTTTAATTCCACCTATGTACTTTGTCGTAAATGTTTCAGCGCCCGCTTGCCGACTACACTATCTAGATCACAACTCTGACATTTACCTTCTTCATTTAATGCGAAGATAAATTATTCTTTGTCTCACGAATAAAACCATAATGGTTAAAGGCATTCGCTCAAATATACAAATGTACATTTTCCCATTTTGATGATACTGTTGAAAATTTATTAAAACATACGTATATTTGGAATTAGGAAATAATGTTAAGAAGGACATATCATGCTATTTCAAAAACCAAATGTCAATTGGAAATTGTTCCTTGATCAAAACTGTAAAACGGATTCGATGTGGAACTACCAAGCCTTAACTAATTATAAAAAACCTTGTTAAAGAATGTTGTTCACCTGTAGAATCGTAAACGTGAAATTCACATCATTGCATATATTTCACTATAGTCTTCAATATCTGTGCTAATTGATACTTATATCATTCTGCCTGTTTCATTTACTTACTATCCTGTTAAATACATTTGATTTTGAATGTTTTATTGAAAAGAAGTGGAGCGCTTTGTGAAACAACATTCAGTCTCATGACAGCGTAACTGTGACACCCTTGTTCTTCAAAAAGTGCCAATCTAATGGAAATAATTTAACGTATCTGAAGAGACCTGAACAACTGCTACGAGCAACAATCAATAAAGTATTTAGATGGGACATATTCACCAATATTTGAAGAAAACATTTTAATGGTGACACATCTGGAAATTTCTTATATTCGTTTAATTGATGAATATTCTAAAAGTTCATGAAAATATCCATTTCCTGTTTCAGAATGAAATTTCCAAGGATGATTACTTAATGAATGTGTACCATTCTCAGAAAACCAAGTTCCTTAAATCAATTTACGAACCACTGGATACTGACATGGAGTAATTTATTATTTTGAAGAATTTGTTTTACAAATTTCGAATAGGCAAATACACTGAATAAAACATATCTTCATGAAATTGATATACTTCCAAACAAATTCAACTCTGAGCAGTAAAATACATCACATAATTAAGCTCCACACAACCAGACTCCTTGATAAGTTTAAACAGAGCAGGAACGAAAAGATTTTCAGAATAAAATGTACTCATTATTCCACATCACGTTTTCCTATCAGCTACATACAACCGAGAATTCCAGTCAATAATATAATTATTCACAAATGTTCAGTGTACTTGAGTTTGTGAAGGTTAGATTATATTGGAAACGTAATAATGAGCAGAATAGAACACAGAATGTGTGACTAAGCATAGTTAAGATCGACTTGTATTTGTATGTTAGAAATTAATTATGTACAGTTGATTCGATTAACCGCACATAACTTCTTCTACCTTGATTGTGATCACTGGTAACCATAACACCTGTTCTGCACTACATCACCAATTTAGTTTTAATCCAGATTCTTCCGAATTCTACTGTTATTGAGATTTTTCATTCTGTGATATATTTCATAAGCCCTGATCGTCCGAGATTAATTGAATGATAAGCACACATATAAATAGTGCGAATAGGTTACATTTCCGTCGTGTACCTCTTGAATTATGTGTGTAACTCCTGTTGATTTACTAAAAACAGATGTCATGTTATCGTAGCTCAAGAACTACAGGGAATCAGTATACTATTACATCACATTATTCCACTAGCGCCTTTATCATCTTGAACATTTCCATTACGACAAACTGTTCAACCTGTTTTCAGTCAGTAACATGCGTAATACGTAGTATGCCTAATAAACAACGTTCAAAATATTCGTCCTAACTCCCATCCACACTATAATTACTGCATGGAATTTATATATGAATTACGTTCATTGTTTTGTAATGTATGAAGTCACTTTCCTTACAAACTCGTAATTCATACAGTCGACGAAAAACAGAGCGCAGCAAATGTTCAATATAATCAAAGCAGATGATTCCATGTATATATTAAATTTAGCTAAGTCAAATTTTTATTTCATTTATTATTTAATTTTAAAATAGCCGTTATTTTTACCATCTAAGAGAGTCTTACATTTTTGTTCACATTTATTTAGACCTGACGCGTTCAGTTTTATGCCATACATATCTAGTTCGGTTGAAGATAAACTTATTAAGGTATCTGCCGGTCTATTAAATCCACCATATCTCGAAGAAGGATATTCAATATCTGAAAAATATGGAACTATCGGTTGGTTTATTGGTCGCCAGCTAATGTATGAAGGTGAATTTACATAATGTTCATTTTACCTAAATCAGATTGATGTCACAATTTGTTGTTTTAAACAGTTCGTGAAGTACTAAGATGTACCAATCTATTTTACATGCCTAATCAATAGTTAAAGCGAGTTGATGAAATATGTAAGGGTGTAGTGAAGGAGTACACAGGTGAGGAAAACTTAATTGTAATTAGCACAACATTACAGAGTTACTTGGTAAAATAGAAAAACCATATAGTAGTTCGTTAATTTGCAAAATATCAATGCATCATATCAACCTGGACTGTTCCTGTTGCAAACATCAATCCATTGTCTCACATTTCATTGTTCATGCGTTTCCTTACAAATTGCATTGTGTTGTCGCTCTTTCTTTATTGACCTTCCCCCATCTTCTGCTGTCAGACATTGCGCTTTTAACTCGCGTGATATTTTACTTACATCGATATAAGTAGCACGCACAACAAGGGTACTTCCACTGATTGGTTTGAACATTGACAGTGTAAAGACTTTCATAAATGACGTAAATAAAACTCGTAATGTAATAAAGATTGTTCAATACAATAAACTGCGTTTTCCATAAGAAATTCGGTGTCCCCTAACAAGCCGAAAGCTAATGATTAACAAGTTCATTATCAAATGATACGTGAAGCTCTCAGGAAATACCCAATAAATCAAATTTCTTAGACCAATTTTGTCATGATAATGATAGTGTAATAAAAGTCGTCCACACTTGCCACAAGTTGACATGAATCACAATTACCCATATGAAAATGTCATGATTTCTAAGACTGATGATATGCAAATCTTCTGAATAAAAATCATCACACCTGGTAGTTTGAAGTAAATAAAAGCTGCCTAAACCATTATCTACATTCCCAGCATAAACTCAAATGTTTAAATTATGCTTGCCTTGCAGTAAATAATAACAAGAAACCAGATGCACCTGAGAGTTCTCAGTTCGCCTGTAATTCACCAGACGCAACAGTTTTTGAGGCTCAACTATGCTGCTTGCAGAAACAAGACGAATTCAAAGAATACAACGAAAAGGTAAGTGTTTTCCAGTAACCCATTGATACCATACAGATTTAAATGCATAACAAATTATTATTATTCGTTCTCGATAACCATAAGTTACCTAAAGCACGGCAACTTACAAACATTATGAACTAGTTAACATGGCGATATTTAATGCAGTAAACTCCTCTACGCATTTTGGTTGACGCGTTATAACGGAAGGTTCACTGCAGAAGCAAGATAAATACAGCATAAAATTTGTTACGATAGACAGTCATTTACGATATGTCATTTGAAATTAATCGATGTTATCAATTAAGGACGGTGGTTTCCACGTCGATCATTTCTCAATTACGTTATGATTATAGTTGAAGAGTTGGAAAACTCCAAATTGAGTGATTGAGCTCTGAGGAGCGAGAAAAAATTCGAAGTAAAAACTAGTGGAGAATAAAGATCTGTCGTGTTTGTTGTGTGTTGAGAACATACTTTGTTGAATTTGTACATTTAAAGTAGTCTTGATAAGAGAATGAATGCTATAAGAATAAGGAAGATTGTTTGACAGCAAACGCTAATTACGTGTATAGACTATATTCATTTTAATTTTATATGCACCACGGAAATTTAGTTGTAAAAGTGGTGAGCAAACATTTTAGAGTTCCATTTAACACGTTGTAAAACTATTTAATCAAAACACAGATTACCTGATATATTATCACAGTTCTCATAGTCACTATATGTGTTTACTTTGCTCCTCATATATACTAGAATTTGAGATCTTTGTCAGCTGATATTAATGGTCTCATGCTCTCCTTTAAAGTAAGTGAATTTAGATAAGTTTGTATCAGTATTACTTGTCACTTAAACATATCATGTATTATCGTAAGTGTTGAATTTCACCGTTGAGTTAGTCACATATTCAATTCATTGAATGATTTCCTTTGAAGTATTATAGTTGGTAATGTATGAATTTCATATCAAAGCGATGAATTAGACGGTATAATTTTAACAGTAGTTTAGGCAGTAATTAGATACAAGTATTTATAAATAGTTGTCTTCGCAAGATACTCAACATACATTGACCGGATACCATCAACAACAGCCTTCTCTGGGAGAGAACAAACCAGCTTCCAGATGAAGAAGAAATTGGGGGAAGATGATGGAAATGGATAGGAAATGCATTACGGAGATCACCAAACTGCATTACGAAACAAGCGCTAACTTGAAATCCTGAAGGGAGACGGAGAAGAGGAAGGCCGAAGAACACAATACGTCGGTAAATGAAAGCAGATATGAAAAGGATCAATAACAATCGGAAAGAACTGGGAAGGATTGTCCAGGACACAGTTGGATGGAGAATGCTGGTGAGCGGCCTATGCTCCACCATGAGGAGTAACAGGCGTAAATAAGTAAGTAAGTAAGTGGGCAGTAATTGGTTAGTGTATCGTTTGTATTCACCCGCCAAGCAACAGATATAAATTGTTTTACGATTAAAACTCTATTTTATGGTGAACACCAAAGAACTGTTTTGATTCTAGAAAGAAGGAAAATACAGCGACTGAGTCATGCGCATTCACCCTATTTAGTGGGTTGAATTCACATGACATATCTTGGTTAATCAATAGGAGTCTACTATTTCAGAAATGATGAACTTACAAAATCCCAATAAATAAACTGTGAATTTCCGGTTTTTCCCATTCTTGTAGAAGTCCCTATATAGAGATCTAGATAAAGGTTTGCTCCTAAGTAATGAATGCGTGAAAATTCCTATTCATTGAATTGTTCAACCTTGCTAACTGACATACTTTTATTTCAGACATACACGGGTCATGGAGATTTGCAAGGAAAGAACTCGTTTTACACATCGTTTGCAAAAGTATGTTTCCAGATATCCTAAATCTCACTTTTACAAAACCTGTGTATTGCAAGCTCATTATTATTATGTAAGAATGTTACTTTCATTGTTCAGCGACTGCATAACATCCAATTCAAAATGAACATAGAATAAATGTTTACTATGATAATTACGAGAGTGATTATAGAATAATTCATGTGTATTCCTCAATTTCTGAGATTAAAAGAAATCAATCATCAAGACTAACTTTTATTTTAATAAGAGTGGAAGCGTTTTAGTTGAACACTGACAATCTCGTGTTGTGACATTTGTCTCAAAAAGAACCATTTCAGAATGTCTTACATGTTTAATGATTTGACAGTAGAGTTTTAACGATGAGATTTGTCAATAAATCGTCACATATATTGGGATTTCGAAGAGTCAAGGAAAAAATTCACAAATCAGCTAGTTGAAAATACTTTGCTTACCACATTAACAGGATTGTATTACTCAAAACCGAGCTATTTCTCACTCAAACCTATACTATATAATGAATAAACAGTATGTGATTAGTGAATAGTACAATCGTATAATGTGTTTTTACGTAAACTATTACTTCTGTGGTGGACCAAAAGGTATATTAACCAAAAAGGAATATCAATAAAGTTATTACATCCAAAGTTAATGCAACAATAAAGAACTTATAAATAAAAGTTCAGGGACGTTACTTAAATCAGCTAGCTGTTGCGTTTTCCGTTGTGCTTGGTACCATAAATCCACAATTATAGATAATTAATAGTTCCAGTGAGATAAATATGGCTCCAGTAAGTTTCCTGACGTAGAATGCAATAGGAATGTTACAACAGTCTTTAAATATAGATGGTAGTTAATCAATAGTTTAGTTATTATATCCACAGGCATGATAGAACGAGGCATGCGTGTATAAGAGTGTATTTATTAATGCACAGTTAACAATGTCGTGCTATGCGTAATTCAAAACGGAAGGAAGTCAATCGTCAAGATCACAGACTTAAACAACAAGTACAATCGTTTAGTGATAAATGTACAGATTGTGGAAATGAACAAAATAAATGCAAAAGCTATCAAAAACTATCTACAAAATAGGTTTATTAGGCCTATCTCCACACTTTTGTTATTGGAGTTATTCGTTCGAAACGCTATAGTCTAAGCTTCTTTCTAGTTTAAATACATATCGCAATAAGTATTTATTATCTTCATTGAGTTCGCTGTTCATCATTTTCTTATTTTCGTTTTTTCTTAATAAATGAAGATGATGTGTACTAGCTACTTCACAGACCTCATTCATACTAAATTACAGTCTCCCGACTCCGTCCATAAATTCAGGTAATTGATTTAGTCATTAATCTGTTCATCTCAATTAATGTATACTTTTTTCATCTCTAAAAAATGAAGTTTCCAATTTTCGAGAAAATTATTCAAAAATTCATATCTCTGAAGTATGATAACGTAAATAGGATTAATGAATGACACGTATTTCATAGGATAGGTAAGCAGGACAGTCATCCGTACCATACAAATTCTAGTCCTCAAGTATTGAACAGATAGTAAAGCAGTGTAACTGGTCATTTTATTGAAGAAAAATACCACACGTTAGACAAAATAATTTCTTACAGTCATTACAGTTCTGTGATTGTCGTTTCATATTCAGAATATGGGTACATTTCACTCAATGTGGTTTGCCAACTGCATTATATAGTATTTCACCGTGTAATGCACTTTTCATTTCTTTCAACGTACATCTCAAATATCCACCCACCAAGCCTGTATTCTTTCCTGTGCATTAATGCAGATGTGAATATTCAATATCAAATCATCCATATCATATTTGCTTTAATGAATGAAATCAATAATTATTCTATACATTTATTCACGAATGATTAGAATAGTCTATTATGATCCTACGACTTACTAAATACGTTTTGTTTCAACATTTCTCATTACCAGTGTGAATGATCTTCTGAAACACAGTCAGGAATTTGCCACTACACACCGATGTGCATCTGGTTCAAAAATGAATCCTGTGAACAAATGTGTTCTTTAGAGCAAAGCATAAATCATGCGTGTGCGCATGCGGAAATATCTGATGGAGTGTGTCCGCGATTTCTTTTTGATATAAACTGTCATAGTGCAGTTTTACATGTTTTCTTTTCACAACAATAAACGTCATTTTGTAACATGAATATGATATTGTTATATTTTGATGGATTGATCTTGACAATTCAAATAGCTAAAATCAAATCATTTTAATCCAACAGAAGAAATAGTTTGAAATATTTTCTTTCTTATAAATCATTTTCATCACGCTCTAGATTAAATTCATTCTTGTACCGTTTGTATTAGATCTTCATCACTGTTTTGTTTTTAACGAAAAATATATTGATAAGCTTCTTGGTTATTCAAATTAAAAAGTGATTTTTACAAATATTTTACTGTTGCGATCATATAGAATTAATATAGAGTACGATTTCTGTGTGACGTGAGATTTCTATTATTTAAAGCGACATGTAACACGAACCGGTGGATGAATGCAATCATATAATGTGACCAGGTGATGGTCACTACTCACGAGAGAGTGTAGGTTGACTGAGGTATTAGAATGATTAAAAATCAAAGACAAGACGACTAGTCAAATGAATGATTTTGTTCATGTAATAAAGTAATATGCTCACATACAGAATATGAACACAAAATTGACACGACAAAACATCATCGACTACTAGAAGTAACTAGCTTGCAGGTCACTCAATGTTTCACTCACTTGAAAACCGACTATAAGCGCTAACGTGTCGAGCATCGTATCAAGAATTTAGTTGGTTCGTCTGATAATAATTAAGTATGTGAAATCCATGGGGATTTTTAAACTGCTGAAAATTTCTCCACTTCATACCACTCTTTAGATGTTGATTTTTGTTAATTAACGAAAAAGGCTTAAAATAACTGGTTAAAAATCTGATGATAAATACAGAAAACAACAATATGTGAAACTATCATAATTGTTGTATCATCAAAAACCTAGTGAGTCAGAATGTTCAAGCGACAAGAAAACTGAAATCAGTCAGTTTATAAGTTTACTGTGAACATCGAAATACAACAGATTTCTGTTAAGCACGAATATAAATAGTGAATATAAATTCGAACAACAGATGGGCTAAGAAGCGATATGTTTGCGAAATATAGACAGTGCTTTAATAATTATAACGTGCATGTAAACTAAATATGGAAATTGCAAATACAACGTCTCTCAGAATACAGATAAAAGTATACAAAGCTACTCGTCACAAAAGTTACAGTGAAAAAAATAATAGAAGTAAAATACTATTAGAATAATGTGTATGAAATTTAAGAGTTATTTAAATGATATTCATGGTCGTAAGCTTAATATTAATTCCCATAGAATAATTTTTCAAATCAGTGACTAACACTGGATTATGAGACACATTTCGTCATAGAAGGGACTTGTCAGACGAATGTGCCTGCATTCCATTGTTTATGTTAACAACAAGACCTCAATCTAGTACCCTTCGTTGTAATTGCATGACCGTATTTTAAAATTTGACAAAAGAGAACTATCAACTACAGAACAATGCAAATCCCTACCAATAGAACAAGATGTAACTGTTACGTCTAAGTTTTTGCTCGTTCCCGTTATTGAAGTACGGTATATCGATCTATTTGCAATTTAGGAATCCAAATTAACAATAGAACCAAATACCAATTTAGGTACCAAAACTTACTCGCAATTTACAAATAGTCGACTCAAATGTCGTTCTAACAACAATAGTTATAACAATTACAAAACAAACCTTCAATTTTGTAGGTTCCCGGGGCAAAAACTCCCAAATACCAAGTCAAAGACAAAAAAAGCCAAAATTTCCGAAAATAATGGTATAAACAAACAAGTTTGGAAGTTGAGTAAAACAAATACATCCAAAAAACACAGTAAAATCATTAATATACAATATAAAGGTTTTAGTCAGACAACTGTCTTCAGTCCTCCCGTAACAGTAACCCAGATTGAAAGCCTAATGAACATTTGAGCTCTTTGGATTTCGCTTTTATTTTGAAGTGAAAGGCATCCAGTTTAAGTCTCGGATTTAATGTCAACACTAGCATACACTGTCATCCAGATGATGAATTCTGAGTGCGATGAAATTGTGATATTTGTAAGTATTTGAATTATAGTATGAACTAAGAATCCCAGAAATAACGTAATCGGGTCAAGAGGTACTAGATAACCACAAACGAATGTACTGTATTTAATATTCGAAATCAAGTATTCAACAAGTACAAAGGTATCATTAGTTCATTCAAACACCACAGAAATACATGTTCTGGATTCTACTGACAGGCATCACTTTTTTCTAAAATGTCTTATGACTAATGGCGGTATTGACAAAATTCGCTTAGGACAGAACTATATTGAAACTCAGGATCCACAGAAAGTCAATGAATGAAGTCACTTTTAACAGTCGCGTTGTATATCAGAACATAGAGTTTGGAGTTAGCCTTTCAAAGATACACTGTTGTTCGTCACATTCAAGTCAGTCTCACTCGTCGTCATCGATCATATGTATTGGTATTTTTATCATGCCTTAGTACGGTTTTGTAACAAACGAGGTCGAACGCATCTCCCTTAAACCATGCAAAGCACTCGAGGCTTCACGAATAAAAATGAATACAACTCTACGTGCCTCATCTACCCAGTCACTATTCTGTTCCTCTAGTCATTCTACTAATACATATCTAACGATAACTCAATGCATCTGTCATAACGCAAACAACCACGTACACTGACTTCACATTTTGTGATTAGTATCAATTGCAGTACATAAACGACTATCACCCGTCAATGCAGTTATCGTTTCACGACTTCACTACGGACTGGAACTCTACGTATTTAAATTCGAATCCACTCATAGCTAATCAATGCTATTTACTCTACTGCCGCTCATCAGCACATGTTCATATTTCACCATTCTGTCAGCATCACAGACCAATTTCTCTCATATTCTACTCTAAAGAATAGAAAAACAAATTTTCAAGTTATTAAAGAATTTCCAAGTGGAAGAAAATAAGGAAGAATTGGCAAAAGGTGTTTTCAATTTGTATTTAGATATTAAAAATGTGAGTAAAATTACCACAACCTCTTTGCAGTTATTCAAAAATATATTGTTATGCACATTTTGACATATCCCAATACTTTAGTTACCAAGATATTTAAATTGTAGGTATTGAGATACATTTAAGGGAAGCTGTGCCATCTAATGGAATTTCAACTTTTGAATAGTTTAGGCAATTGTTACTGAGGTGCATTACTTACTTACCTACGTGTTTACTTACGTACTTACTTACTCCTATTTCCCCTCATAGGGAGCATAACATACATTAATTTTCTCTAAAAGAAATTTTCGGAGGCTATGAGAACCAGTCCGGTTAAGGCCAGCCGTTATTTTGGTAGAGGTAGGCGAGGGCATTATCTTATTTAATAGCGACTTTCCTTACTTCCATTCTTGAAACTTATAGTGGAATGAAATGTTTTAAAATGGCATAAAGTCTTTAAATACCAACCATTACATAGCCAACATGCAGATGTGAGCTTACCTCTATCAATGTGAAAATCTTACGTACTGGGAACTTATTTTTCACTCTCTCAATTGTACACATGTGCTAGAATGGCCCACTTGTTTCAGCGATTAGGGCGACAAGTCTTAGCTTATCCAACTTTTTTATTCGCTGGTCACTTTTTGTCATTCGATACTGGGGGAATGTCCAGGTTCGGTAAAAATTATTTTTTAGATATCAGGGTCTTCCATTGCATGTAGCCTCTAAATAAATTCAAGTCACTCAAACTAAGCTTCTGTCAAAGAGAGTGGTTTGAATCTCTGATATTCTCAGTTCACAATTTCCCTATTTTTTACCCAGTCATTTCTTGATTCTTTAGTCGTCTTAAAACGGTGAAAGGGAGTTCTAAAAAAGGGGCAGCTATTACACGATCGTTTAATACAGTTTGAACAGTATCACAGAAACCAAAGTCACGTGAATTCTTTGAAAGAATAAAATAGCCATAGCGTTCACAGTCTGTTGCGCCTAACTTTCGTATTAGTATTCTGACTCTTGTGATCTCATCTAATATGCCGAGGTCATCGTTGGACAGGTCTCCAAACATTTTGAGCCATGAGGCAAAAGTAACAAGGTGTAATTCATGAATGGCATTGATGAGTGAATCAGTTTGGTAGTTGCAGCTCATTAAATGTCGGGTCTCACTGGGGTAAACCCATATTCCAGCCCGCTCAAATCACTTCTCCTGACTCTTCAAGTAGGCTTCTAAATGTTTCAAATATATATTCAGAAGGGGTTTTGTGGAGATTTTAGAAATTTCACTGATTGAAATCATGTCATTATATGTGAAAATTATATTTGAAATAATCTCAGCGATTGCAATATAAATAATTCTAACGTTTCGTCCAGCCAACTTGTCTGGACTTCAGTGTAATAATCAAAATCAAAACCATCAAAGAAATATATAGCTTTTTAACAATCAAAACTATACTGTGTTAAACCAATCATATTTGGATTTTAATTTTGGTAAAATAGGGTAACATGAATCAGTTAAAAGGCTATATATTTCTCTGATGGTTTTGATTTTGATTATTACACTGAAGAAGTCCAGACAAGTTACCCGGACGAAACGTTAGAATTATTCAAACTTCAATCGCTGAGATTATTTCAAATGTAATTTTCACATATAATGACTTCTCTGTTTTCGGCGTCCAATTTCGTTCTAATCTTGACGAATATTCTCATATATTCATCATGGTTTTCCTGTTGCCCACTGATGAGTACGCTGCTTTCACGTTTATTACGGATGTTCTAGCTGCTATCTATAAACGGAGACTACTTCTACATTTGAACGAAGCCAATAAGGAGAAGGAATAAAACATGTGAAATAGATCTGCAAGGTCAATTTACGTGAGAAAACTTGAGTTGAATTTTCGGATTCCATATGACCCTGATATTATATAAACTTCTGTGGATGTAATCAGTATAGTTTAACACAAGAATTACTCAATCAAAATTTGACCCACAATCTTTCATTTTTCTAGATGACAATGGCCAAAATGTTGCCAGTGTTTTTCTATGACTCCAGTGACTTGCCGATGAATATGGGTTATCGATATTTTATGATGATTAAATTTTATGATTCTAATCTAGCTCTTTTAGATAAATTCCGACAGCTATAATCCATAATGAGAACTATTGACGTGTGGTAAAAATTATTACAAATTCTCTGACTGCCTTGTTAAAGAACAAAATCTCTGAATATCTCTTCC